CGCTGCCGATGGCGCGTCCAAGGAGCGGCGTTCAGTCTTTCTCGCTGCTCGCGATCTGTTCCCTAACTTGTTAATCGTGATTCGCGACCCAGCTCACGCCATTCGCATTGCCTGCAAGTCGATGCACTGCGACGACGTGTTTGGGCAGGTATGGAAGGAGCTGTTCGATGATCGGCATGCGCTGGTTCCTGACCTGATGAATTCTACCAAGTGGCACAACCTTCTGGTGGCCATCCAGGAGGACAACGTGCATGCAGTGGCGGTGCCTGGACTCCCTGGAGGGCCCCAGCCCCTGGCGGGAATCGTGCGGAACTTGGCGTTCGCCAAGCAACGCTTCGACTCGACGGCGGGCCCCGTGTTGAAAATCGCTCTCATGCTTCTGCCGGTGGCAACCTTGCTGGCGTACATCGCGTCCGACCGTCGCCACGATCGGGAGCAGCGCGAGCGGGCAGGCGCCCTGTTGCGGAAATTCGATACTAAGTTTTGTATGGCCGTTGGTGTGTCGGCGGATTGGGGGATCATATGCAACTGGTTCTTGCGGCTCTTCGACGTCGCCAGCCACGACATTGCGAAGTCGCGTTCTGAGATCGACTGCATGGTCGAGACGTTGGACGCGGTCTTCATGGGCGTGTCTTCCAGACGGTTTTCCAGGCCGCCCGCCCCCCCGCGGCAGCCGCAGCCTCTGGCGTGACCGCCCCAGCTGCCGAGGAGCCGCTGCCGCCGCGGCTCCGCGCGGTAGGGCATGAGGCGGGCTTTATCACAGAGACGGTAATGCGCAATCTCCGCACCAACTATGTGTTCTACGCAGACGGCGACCCCGTGATGCCATGGGGGGAACCAGCAGCGGCGCACAAGGAGGAGCTCCTCCACCGAATGCAGAACGTGGCGGGATTGACAAAAGAGCGCTTGCTCCAGGACTTCCCGCGGACTGACGTCCGCTCGGCGCTGGCGATGTTTGACCGGCGTCTCGTGCAGAAAGGTTTCGGCCCAGTGCCTGATGTTGAAGTGCGGCGGTTCCTGTTGCGGGGCGCGCGCCAGCTGGCGGCCCTGCTCGGTTGCGACGAGCAGGCGGCGATGCGACAGTACGACGGCGTGCTTCCCTACATGATGGAACAGATGGAGCCATCCCAGCCACTGGCGGGGGCAACTAACCAGCAGGCGTGGGCTCGCGTGCTCGACGATGACTTTTGGGAGGCGGCTTGCCCGAGGCGTCTCCGCGGGTCTTCTCGCGTGCTCTGCCGCCTGGTGCGTTTCTACATCTCGATTGAAGACGGGGAGTCCACCGTCGAACGCGACTTGGCCAGATTTCGGGACCAACGGGTAGAGCACCGCACCGATGATATCGCCTTCCACGACGACGGCTTAATCGTGAAGTTGAACGGGCCGAAGACGGCGGCTGATTTCGACGAAGGCGCAGCTCGCTCTGGACTGGGCCTGACGTCCTTCTCCAGGGAATGCGCCAGCCTCTGGCTGGAACTGTTCGGCCATCGGCATGGGCATTACAATCCTCACGCTACTGCGGCGGCCAAGTTAAAGAGGCGCGGTGCGCCCGGGCTTGTTCGAGGACGTGTTCGGGCCGTTCTTGGGGCCGCCCGCCTGGCCGCGGCTGCCGCGCGTCTTCGACGGGCGCGGGGCCAGTCTTCGACCGCGGTGCATTCTGGCGCCGGCGCCGAGGCGAGCGCTTTGTGGAACGATGGCATGGGTAAGTTCCAGGCGCGCAGCCGCAAGAATATACCAGGCGTCACGCAGGCGCGGGCGTGTCCAGGGGCGCCCTTCGCGAGTCCGCCCGGCGTCCACCTGGCTCCAAGACGAGGTGCGACGACGCAGCCTCTGGCGCGGCCCTCGCCGTGCAGCAAGGTAGCAAGCCTCGGCGGCGCGACCGACACGTGCCCTGCGAGAGGTTGCGCTACTGTCATTGGCAGACACCGTTGTGCAGAAGCAGACCTCGTCGTCGTTCCAGACTTTCCGTTCCTCCACGACTTGGATGCGATAGCAGCCAGCGCGGACCTGACCGTCTCTTACTTTTACATCGCGTCGCTGGGCCTCGACGTCGTTACGAAGACACACCTTGTCTCTGCCCAGTGCCACCCAGATGGAATTCCACTCGGCCACCGCATGCGCCACGTTCCAGCAAACCAGCGCGGGGAGGTGATCCATCTCGCGCCAGGCCTCGTCGCGGGGCGTCCAGACGTGAGGGCGGCGGCGCGGCGCGTGGCCCGCAGAGCGGGGTCGAAACTCGCAGTGTCGGAAGCGCCCCCCCCAGCCGCTGGCGGGACGTGTTTCTCGAGTCTGCGCGACGTCGTCGCATGGGCGTCTGCAGCGAGGAAAGTGAGGAATGAAGGTGGGCCCAAGGCAGTGACCGTGGACGGAATGCCAATGCGCGCCTGAGGAGCCCCCCGGGAAGAGAGAGAGAGAGAGAGAGAGAGAGAGAGAGAGAGAGAGAGAAAAAAAACAAAAAAAAAAAAACGTTTCGCGTGTCCCTGGAAGCACGTCCAGGCGAGTTGTTCTGGTCAGGGATCTGTAGCATCGCGCAGTGCCAACAGGGGTGGGAGGTTGCGCAAGCCATGATACCGAAGCTTTGGACCAGCCTAATCAGACACAGGGGAGAACCGCGCACGGTTTCGCGGTTCTTGTCGAAAGATGGGGCGGGAAGGGGGAGTGGGGGGCATAGTAACTTTCGCCAAAGGCGCCAAAAATACTCCTCCTCCCTCTTCCCCCTCCTCTCTCCTCCTCCTCCTCCTCCTCCTCTCCCCTCCTCCTTTTCCTCCTCCTCCTCTTTTTTTCCTTCCTCCTTCCCCTCCTCCTCTTCCTCCTGCTGTAAAGGCCGAAAAGCCTCTAGTGGGCGGCCGAAAAAGCCAAGATGCCTCTAGTGGGCGGCGGAGAAGACCGAGAGGCCTCTTGTGGGCGGCGGAGAAGGCCGAGAGGCCTCTAGTGGGCGGCGGCAAGGGCCGAAAGGCCTCTAGTGGGCGGCGGAGAAGGCCGAGAGGCTTCTAGTGGGCGGCGGAGAAGGCCGAGGACCTCTAGTGGGCGGCGGAGAAGGCCGAGAGGCCTCTAGTGGGCGGCGGAGAAGGCCGAGAGGCCTCTAGTGGGCGGCGGGGCGGCGGAGAAGGCCGAGAGGCCTCTAGTGGGCAGCCTTGGGGCCCCAAGGGGACCCCCCAGATCCCCAAGAGGAGTGGGCGATTTTTTCGGCCTCGGGGTCCTCGTCGTCGCGGCGGCTGGATCCCCCCCTCGAAATTATGGTCAGAGCGCGCACCTTCTCAAGCAAAAAAAAAAGGGAGGCGAGGCTCCCCCCCCGCGGCCCCCTCAGGCGCAGTGCCCGTAAAGGGAGGGGCCGCCTCCTGGGTGCCTTTCCGCCCCCTGCCCTACCTCGTTGAGGCGGGCTCGGGCGGGGGGGCGGAAGAGCACCCCCCTCTGTCCACCCTCCAGGCGGAAGGTGGACATAGGGAACGGAGTGGGGAGGAGTCCTCTGGCTGGCAACGGCATGCCTTCGTGGTCGTGCCGCGGGAGCCGCCCGATGGGGAGCTGCAGCTCCCGAAGGCTTGCAGCCAGGTAAGGGCCCTTCGCAATCCGCGCCTCAAAAGAGGGGTAACGAAGGACCCTTACCCCGACCCCACGGCAGCCACAGGCGCGCCGTTGCCATACCTCCTACGGTGCCCGAGGAGAGAGGGACCCCCTCTTTTCCCCGAAGCCCCCTAAGAGCCCAGCTGGGTCCCCTAGCAGCCTCCCAAAGAGCCCAAGAGCCCTGAGAGGCCCTCCAAAAAATCCATCGGGGCCCCCCTGCGAGATCCCTTTGGGCCACACCGCGGGCAGCCCGGGACGCGGGGGGCCCCCCAAGAGCTCCCCAGATCCCCAAGACCCCAGACACGGATCGCAAAATGGGCACACCCCTCACACGGATCGCAGAACGGGCACAGGCACACGGCACACCCTCACACGGATCGCGGATCGCAGAATGGGCACACCCCTCACACGGATCGTCTGCGGCACGCTCCGCACCCCTCACACGGATCGCAGACTGGGCACACCCCTCACACGGATCGCAGGATCGCAGAGTGGGCACACCCTCACACGGATCGCAGAATGGGCACACCTCTCACACGGATCGTCCTTCGGCACGCTCCACACCCCTCACAGGGATCGTCTTTCGGCACGCTCCATAAGAATCAAGAAAGGACTGCAGACTGCGAGACTGCGCTCACGGGACACAGGATCGTCTTTCAGCACGCTCCAAAGAAGAAACTGCGTTCACTGGATCGTCATTCGGCACGCACCAAGCTCAAGAAAGGACAGCTGGCCAAAAATTAAGTGCATGCTCGATGAGGAGAGGGGGGATGGGCGAGGGATGAGGGGCAGGAGGGATGAGGAGAGGCGGAAGGGAAAGGAAGGAGGATCGGATCGGAACGCATTACCCAAAACGGGGCCCAGCAGGTAGCAGGTGAGGGGAGGAGAGGAGGCGGGCAGAAAACGGAACGCCGTTCCAAAATAGGCCCGGGGCCCAGCAGGCAAAGGAAGGAGGAGGGAGGAGGGATGAGATGGGGACAGGAAGGGGTAAGGGAAGGGATAGGGATTGGAAGAGAGGGAAGAGGGAAGAGGGGGAGAGGGAAGAGGCTAGAGGGAGCGAGGAATGAGGAGTGAGGAGTGAGGAATGAGTGGATGCCCTGCTCCCTACTTCTGCTGGCGTGCTGGCGCGCAGGATCGCAAGACCAAAGCGCGTGCGAAGCCGCCAATTCATACTTCACGCTTCACACCTCACGACGAGTGAAAGTACAACCCGAAGAAAATCTACAAACACTCAGTGAAGCCTGGAAGCTAAACGCTCGACCACTCGACCAGTCCATGCACAGCGATCTCCTGTCTTCTGCCTGTCTGTCTCTCTCCTCTCTCTCTCTCTTTCTCTCACTCCTTCTCTGTGAAACGCAAAATCTGAGATCTGAGCTGTGGGCTGCGAGCTGTGAGAAACTACCCCCTGCCGCGGGCACGCGAACCCCGACCACCGATCTTCAACTGTCCTGGTGCACTCGCTGCTTTCGCAAGTGCTTGCTCCCCCTTGGTGGCTTTGGGCGGGGGGGCAACCGGGGCAGGGGCAGGGATTGGATCACCCCTCTTGTGATCAGACGACTTTGCACCTGAATCAGCATTCTTCTGCTCAGACGCCGGTGCCTCTGCAGGGAAGGCCGCGCCATGCTCAGCCTTCTCACCCTCCTGTGCGCCCTGGGAACTATCACCCTTCTGACCTGGAGACTCAATGGGAAGTGTATGCTTGAGAAGCCCCCTGCCTCCCTCTGCCCTGGGCCTGCAGGGCTTCGGGAAACCGTCGAGGACGTTGATCAGGCTCGCCCAGAACTTGTCCAAGGCGCAGCCGGGCGCGCAGGAGTGAAGGTGCTGCGCCAACTCCTTGAAGCTCTCCAGGTTGCTGGGCTCTGGGTCCAGCGTGCTGCTGCGGAAACCTACCACCATAGTGGCCCCCACGACCCGCTCCATCACGAAGAAGCCCAGGGAAATGTACATGTACTGGTCTGCGCTGATGGTACCCTTGTAGAAGACGCCATCGCAGCTGTCGAAAATGTTCAGCTGCTCGTTGAGGTGGATGCTCTTGATGATGTCGACACACCACTCGAAGAAGTCCTCCTTCTCCCCCTTCATGAGGCCAGCCCTCTGCGTGTAGTCACTCAGGCTATGCCAATCCACGGCGATAACCTCTTTGGTGCCTGAGATCTGGTACGAGCAAGTCGGAAGGCCTTGCCGCTGGAAGTGCACTGCCTTGTTGCCGATGTTCGACCCATACATCAACACTTGTGAGTTAGACTTGCCGATCATCGTCTCAGTCTCGCCCTTGGGTACTTCCATGGACATCGGGGCCAACTTCTGCAACTGCTTGAGAACGTTGGGCGTCTTGTCTGAGTGCATGGGCGTGAAGCCGCGCCCCTCCTTCTTGGACTGCGCACTGGCTGGGTACTGGACTCTGAAGACGCCGAGCGTGGCCTTCGTGGAGCGCTCCTCGCACAACGCCTTGAGGGCACTATCCGACTGAATGACAAACGGCGTGCCCGGCCTAGTCTGATGTGTGTCACGGGCCTCCACGTATGCAGCATGATCTTTGAAGGTGTTCATGGGTTTGATGCACGCGTGCTGGACATCAAGAAGTGCACAGCCGCCAGCAGAGCTCTTGACCCTGTCCGCCTGAGCTTTAGCTTCCTTCTCCTGCTCCCTCTGCTTCTTCAAACTCTCCTGCTGGTCCTTTCTCACCTTCGCCTCGGCCGCCGCTGCGATCTTCTTCTCATGGCGTTCAATGGCCTTTATCACCTCGTCGGCCGACGCACTCACGAATGTGCAGATCTTGCCGATGATGTCGGTGATGCTGACCAGCTCCTTGTCCACTGTCTTCAGGATATCCTCGGTCTGCGCCGCCTTGATCTTCCAGTTGAACGTTGAGTACTCCATCACCCCGCAAGCCCGGACGATGTCGGCCTCTGCTACAGGAAGAGACTTGGCCTGCAATCCCCTGGAATGGAGGACGTGCTGGATATCGTGCCTGGCCGTTTTGCAAACCAACACTCTCAAGAAGCCATCGTGCAGAATAGTTGTAGTCAAGGAAGCACTGTCAGAGAACTGTGTAACTTCTGAGTCCCAGCCTAGACACTTCAAGAGGAGGGATATCAAATCAATATCATCAGGGTCTACCATGTCGTCGATGCTGTCCCGCACCGTGACGCACACCTGGCCAAGCACTTCGGGATCGATGCGAGGATCTGACTTATCCTTGTAATCCTTGGTGATATTCAGGATCTTGATCGCCAACTCGCACTGCTTGTTAGGCGTAGTTTTCGTTTTCAACTTCTCGTATGCCGCCATTGCGATGCTCAATTCGTCCTTGGCCTCGTCACCAGTAGGGTCTGCGTGCACTACGTAATCTATCAATGGCGCCCTGTCCCTCATCACGTCCACGTAACGGGCTAATCCGGGGACCTCGCCAGGGCCACTCAGCCTAGACTCTGGGGTATTTTCACCGACGGCTGCCTCGGCCTTCGCAATAGACTCCCTCATCTTAGTGACCTTCGCCTCAGATGCAGACTTCTGAATGCCTAACTTGTCCAAGACTTTATTCCGCAAAATGTCGATGTCTGTGCGTTTACCCTTGCTCTTGTTATCCTCGTCTGCCTTCCTCTTCTCCTCCTTCATGTTCGCGAGCTGCTCCGCAAAGATGTTCGAGCCTGCATCGAGGCTGTTGGCGAACGCGCCCTGGCCGAGGGCACCGATGGAAGTGCCGCCGACGGACGCAGCTACGCCCATGGCGCCGCCACCGACATCTTTGAACATGGCGTTCTTGAAGGTCGCGTGGCCGATAGTCAGGGCCTTCTGCTTCTCCGCGACCTCGTCCTCGTTGGTGACTTTCTTGCGCTTGCTCTCGACGTTGACCTCTTTCTTCTGCCCCACAGCGTTGCTTCCTTCGACGAAGTCCTCCTTTGGCATGGGCAAGCGGAGCGATGAGTGCTCCGGGCCTTTTTTGTCCTTCTCTTCTTCGGGGCAGCTGGCCAGTGTCGCCTCCCACTTCGTCTTTGCTTCTTGCTTGGGCATCACCAGTGTGTTCTCTGCGTGCTTCATCCACTGTTCGTAGTGCATCATGACCAAGCGAGTGCCCTTCTTGACCTTCGTGGAAGCAGTGTGCTTGGTGACGCACTGGAGGACATCACCAGATGTATGGCCCCGTTTCTTCCCTCTGCCTCTCCCAGGGAAGGTCGTTTCGAACTCCATGACCGCCGATGCGAAAGCGCTGGGCGGTTCGTCTGGGGCCGAATCTCGACAGTCAATGAACTCCTTCAACTTCTCTGGATCGGTTTTCAAGGACGCCATCATGGCTTCTATTGCCTGCTTGTGGGGCTTGCAATGCTTGCTCCCCTTAGCCATGTTCTCCGTGGTGGCGCAGATGTTGCAGTTCGTGTAGTTAGTGAGGGACTGGAGGAATTGGCTTCAACCCAGACCAGCAAGAAGCAAGATAACTTCACACAACAATGGGCAGCCATAATATGTTCGATGTTTGTCTATGTGTTGTACTTGCGTATGTATTCTATGTTATGTGTGCATACAGAGTGCGAGAATGCGTGCGTGCGTGCGTGCGTCCACGTATTTCGTTGCACTCTGTGTGAATGCACTGTATGTGGAATGTGTATGGGTATGGTGTGTGGTGTATGTGTGTATGTGTGTATGTGTGTATACATGCACACACGCGTATGTATTGCATACGTGTATATTGCCCGAGACCCCAGACTCCGAGGCGACTCTGTTACGTGCACTTCTGCACCTCCCCACAGCTCAATCACACAACCGCAGTCCCTGGCAAGACCCTTTCAGATGCGTGGAGAGGCATGGATGCATGGGGTCGGAGGTTGGAGCTCGGTCCTGGCATCCCCGATCTTGTTTTACAGCACAATGAAGAATCAACTTCACTTCTGGGCTGCACGCCACTCGCAGAGAGCCCCTAGACCTGAGTACTAAACACATCAAGTCAAAGACAAAACTGCAAGTCCATAGAATCGGACTCGCTTCAACGCTGGAGCGCTGGGCGCTGGAGCGCTGGAGAGTGCTGCTGTTGCGTGTGAGCTCTGTGCTCTGATTCGGCACTGCTGGTTCCTGGCTCCTCCTCTCCTCCTGCTCCTCCTTCTCCTCCTGCTCCTGTTCTCCTGTTGCTCCTCCTACTGACGGGGGCCTGGGGCACGTGCGATCGTGCGATAGCAAATCTGATAATCTACCAACCACCGTACATCGTAGTTGCGAGGCAACTATGGCCACGCACAACGCACAACAGCACCACGGTAGGATGCCCGGCTGCTGCTTGTTGGCTGCCCAACTCATATGGGAAAATATCATGGCTCAACGCTTCCCTTCAACCTCAGATGCGTGATACAATAAGTGATCCAAAGGCCCATTGCTACGGTATGAAACGAATTACCGATCATGGAACAAAGGGCCGTCGTAGGAATGCTGCCGTCCTCCAACAAGTGCTGCCAGTAGCACGGGTAATTGTCTGGAATGGTGCCCACCATGCAAGGCTCCCCCTGCGCCATCAACAACTCAAATGGGTGGATCATGCTGTGCTTGCCGTCTTTATTCAAACTTGCGATGAGCTTGCAGTTGGTGGTGATGCACGGCATGTACTGGTCTCCAGTAGTAAAAGATGGTTGCTGGTTCAGGTCTGTCAGGTACGCGTCCCAGCAGTAGTTCTCAGAGTAGAACTCCTTCTCATGATGCTCCAATCGTTTGGCCTGAGGAATAGTAAGAAAATCTTTCATCTGAAGGTCAACGCTGCTGCTGAAATGGATCCTCTTGTTGGCGGCCATCTCGCGCATGTACTTCTGGCGATCCGCGGCATTCATCTGGACGTAGGCTTTCCCAGTAAGCACTGGGGCACGCGCGAGGACCTGGTCGTATTCTGAATAGCTTCCAGTGAAATCGAACGTCTTCGTGTTGTAGATGAAGGTGTGCCGTCGCTGCCTCCTCACGGGTATGCCTCGGGACTTCGGGTTGTCGATCCTTGTCACCATCTTGTAGGTGCCGATCCCTCCCAACGAATGCTCGCCAAGACTGTCAGCAAGTTGTTGATGGAGATCTGGCGGGCATGAAGAGGTGATCTCTAGCCACACGACGTCCGGCTTGAGGATCTTCATCTCCTCGACGAACAGAAGCCACTCCTCCATGTTGTCGCCGATGAAACACCACCGGAGACCATGCATAGCGAAGTCCTGGCACGAAGATCCAGCACAAACTGCTTTGATATTTTGGAGTGGCCTCCGCTGCATCGGCATCTCATCTTCATGCTGCTGGGTGCACTGTTCCTCGTCGACACAGACAGGAAAGGGGTACAACGGGCGGTAGGCTTTGCACTGGTAGCACCAGCTGGTATGATGATCATTCAAGAGCATCCCTGCTGCGGCCTTGCTCTTCACGAAGGTCGTCATCTCCTCGAAGACCTTCACCCTGCTCGCCTTGGTGAAATCAATCCCACTCCTTATCCTCTCGAGCTCCTTCTGCGTCTCAGGGCGAAGGCGAGATTGGAACGAACCGAAGACGTGATCGTACAAGATCTTCGGACCATCTCTCATACCACAAAGAACTGAAATACAATGCTTATCTTCCTCAGTGGCGTGCACGCTGCTGAAGACGTCGTGATCAACGAGATTCCGAGCTTTGATGGCCTTGTTCAAATGCTGGAAGATCGTAGCGTCGGTGCCCTTGCCCGCGTAGTAGCTGTAGCACTGCCAGGAACACTGTAAAACATCAATGAGATGGCCTGGCAAGCACTCCGAACCCTCCAAGGATTTAAGGCAAGCATCCAGACCCCAATCTGGCCACCCGAATACATCAAGCAGCGTGCGAGGGCCATCGAGCTTCTCAGCGTCCAGAAGGGCGTCATCGAACCCTCCGAGTTTTATCCTCTTGGACGTGCTGCTGCAAGGGCCGCCTTCCATTGCTGATGAAGGACGCCCAGACGTCAAAACTCGCTTCGATACGCAGGAAAGACACTGCCAGGCGCCAACGGGCTGGCGGGCGGTGGGCTTCCTTAGAAGCCGGTAGATCAATTGAGTCAAAACGGCAATGCAAGCAAACGACGATGCAAGCTGCAAGCTCCCTAGCTCCCTGCTCCCTCCCACAAGAAGGAGGGCGAGAAGGAGCGGGAGAACGAAAGGGAGAGGAGGAGCAAGGAGCAAGGAAGGAGGGCGAGAAGGAGCGGGAGATGGGGAAGGGGGGTGGGTGGAGGGGGGAGGGCCAGGGCCATCAGTCTTCCAATTATCTCAATCCTCAATTATCCTCCTCCCTGCTCGTTGCTCCTCCCACCGCCTCCTCTAATCCTTATGCCCCGCTCCCCATCCACTGCCCACTCTCCACCATCTGCTATCTCCTCCTTCCTCCTCCATCCTCCAAAACAGTGGTATCCTTCCGAGGCTTCTTGATGCAGGGCTCGCAACCGCCAGAAGACGCTGTAGTCACTTCTGTCGCAGCCACAGAGGAGGTGTCGTCGAGCCCGACCGGGTCGAATAGGTCGCCGCCGTCCATGACGAGGGACACTCTCCAGGGCTCACAGATCTCTGAAGTCTGGAGTCTGGGGAACAAGCCTCAACAGCTCGATCCATGAGACAGCCACAACAGCAGGGGACCGGGAGCACGCCAGGACCCCTTTGAGGGTTTGGGCAGACAGGAAGGCCTTGGGAACTCCTGAAGCATCTCCTGGCGAGGGGGCCACACGATGAGAAGGCCTTGGGAACTCTGGAAGCATCTCCCTGACGGGGGGGGGGCGGCTTGTGAACTCTGGAAGCATCTCTGGGACGATGGGACGATGTGCTGTGCCTTACTGCAGCATTCGCACAACTTCCAACACTTTCTGTTGATGTTTGTGCGTTATTGATGTTTGTTATGCTTTTTGTTTCAACCCTGACGTTTTGTTTGCATTTTCTTGTTTTGTAGCGCTTCTTGTAGCTGTTTTGTGTTTTTTTGTGGTTTCGTGTTTTTTTTTTGCATTTCTTGATTTTTTGTGATTTTTGCGTTTTTTTGTGTTTTTTGCGTTTTTTTGTGTTTTTTTGTTTTTTTTGCCTTTTTGCTGATTTTGGCCAACTTTCGCAAAAAAAAACACCAAAATCACCAAAATCCACAACAAGCTGCAAAAACACGAAAATCACAAAAAAAAAAACCTAAAACAAGTTCCGTGGAGTTCCGTGGAGTTCCGTGGAGTTCCGTGGAGTTCCGTGGAGGGGGCTCTGGGGGGGCAAAAATGCTAAAAATACGTTTTTGGCGGCGTTTCTGGAATTTTGGTGTTTTGGTCGATTTTGGGCAATTTTTGCGCATTTTGGCAAAAAAACAAAAAAAACACCAAAAACACAAAAAACACAAAAAAACAAAAAAAACACCAAAAACACAACAAATGCATAAAAAACTATTAAAAATAACAAAAAACATCAAACATAACATATAAACGCAAAACAAGCACTAAACGACTTACAAGCAACATGAACAACACTACAGACGCATAAAACACAAAAACGCATTCAAATAATCAAACAAACAATGATAATCACGCACATCAACTACACAAACCACGTTGGAAACGCCAGCGAACAGACGTGCATCTCTGATGCCGAACTTTGGTGTCCAGGCCATTCGGGGTGGAGCTAAGCGAGGACGATCACCCTCTACCTTCTTCCTCCCTCCTCCCTCCTCCCTCCCTTCCCCCTTCAGGCTTCTATCTCACCCTTTTCTCAACAACAAGAAAAAGCGGGCAGCGAGTTAGTCGGAGCTCGAGCTCGTTGAAGACGAGCTCGAGCTCGAGCTCGAGGACACGCTCGATGATGAGCTGTCCTCGCCGGTGCGCCGGCGCGTCGTCCGCCGTCGCGGCTTCGTCGATGCATCGTCGCGTCGTCATTGTCGTCCATCCTTTGCGTCGTCGATCGTCGCCTTCTCCATCTACTCTTAATACGTCGTTGCGTCATTGCGTCGTCATCGCTGTCGTTATCGGTTATCGAGTCGTCGTGCTAATGCATACTGTTATCGGCTATCGTTATCGGTTATCGATTATCGGTTATCGGTTGTCGTCGAGTCGTCGGTTATTGTTTTCGGTTATCGGTTATCGCTGTCGTTATCGGTTGTGTCGTTGCTAGCGCATACTCTATCATCTGTATCCTACTCCTCCCTCCTCCTCCCTCCTCCCTCCTCCCTCTCCTCCTCCTCTCCTCTCTCCTCTCCTCCCCCCTCTTCTTCCTACTCCTCCCTCCTCCTCCCCCTCTCCTCTCCTCTCCTCTCCTCTCCTCTCTCCTCCCTCCTCCTTCCTCCCTCTCCTCCCTCCTCCTCCCTCCTCCCTCCTCCCTCCTCCTCCCTCCTCCTCCCTCCTCCCTCTCCCCTCTCCCCCCTGAGTCCTGGTA